GGTGAAGTATGTAAAAAAAATCAATATACCTTAAAATTTTATTATTACAGTTCACTTACTTTTATACCAATATTTATATTTTAGAATTGTCCTATTGAATGGTTTCATTTGGATTGTGTTGATCTTAAAGCAGTACCAGAAGGAAGATGGTATTGCGAACATTGTATGAGTACAATGAATCAAGTAAAAAAACGAAAAAGAGGTCGACCTATTGGATCATGAGTGCTTATTAATTGTAAACTTTTTAATATTTTTAAATTGATGTTTTGTATTTATTTTTATTTTTAATTCAAGTCTTTCATTTATATTTTTATATTTTTTAGGTAAATTCCTTCTGACTTATTCACAATCCTTATCCAATTAGTCCTGATCCATATATTTTTATAATCATCATTTATCACAATCATTGTCCTAAAATATTTATATATTAATATATGAATATGAATGAACATGAATAAAATTACATTGGTTCCATTTTGCTAACAAGTTAACACTTCAAACTTTTGCTTGCATGCCATACCGGACAAAAAATTATAATCAAACTAATTTATTATAATAATGTTCTGCTTATGTTTAATATAATAATAAAGATAACTATTTAACAAGTGGCAAATTAATCAATTATCAACTACTTTGTTAAATCTCTCTGATTAGAAGAGACTCCTTTCGATATTGAGTGTTGAAGCAATGCTTTCCAATATATATTGACTCGTGTTAATGATTCGTGTATGTGTATAGGTTTTTGAGAAGGGTGGTAAAGTGGAATGAGAAGTTGAGAGAAATCTTGATACATGAGCAATAGCAATGGTAGTTTCTGAATGAGGAGAATCTAGAGGCTTTATAGTGTAACTATATTTAAATGAAATGCATGATGGGTTGATACACTCAACAGCACCATGTACTTTGACACTAGTGATCTTGCCATTGATAATCGTGCAAGTTTAGTCTGTTGAAAACACCACTCACAAGTTTTGTGAGTATTGATATTTATTAGTCATTCCAAAAGTGCAATGCCTTCTATATGCTGCTCCCTCATTTCACCACTACCTCTACGAGCATGCCCCTTTATATGAGAATTAATTCTGTACCAACTGTACCAATCAACACAACTGGCAGGATAAATGATTGTGATTTTGGACATTAAAGAGGATGAGAATATGAAGATTGGAGAGAGCAAGAAATATGATGGTTTTACAGTTGGTGCAATATCCATCAAGTTGTGAGACAGTTAGTTGATAATGATTGAGGTTGTGATTGTGATGAAATGGTGAGTTTGGTTTGTGATTTCTCTATGGGTTTTTTCTTTTCTTTTTCTTCAGCATTTTTGTTTTCTTCTTTCCCTTTAGCTTTGACACCCTTGTGAATATTATTCCAATATTGCCTAAGGAGTGCTTCTTTTGTATAAAATTTGCTTGCATTTCTCTTGCAAATCCTGGTAGGCTTGTTGTTTAGTTGTAATGTCATTATTGAATTTTGATTTTTGTGATTTCGGTTTGCCTTGGATTGATTTTTTTCTCTTGCTGCGAGCATTTTTCAGATCCTTTCCAATATTTAAAGCATCAGAAACCCTTCAATTTCACACTTAGTCTTTTATATTCTTTCATCCAATTCAAGAATGATCGAAAAAGTTTTTTCTATCATTATATTGGCTTGTCCAGTTCGATAAGATCCATTTGAAATGATTTTACCAGTGATATGGTGTGTATATTTATCAACATGCTGATATATTGGCAAAATCCGAAGCCATGATACCAGTAGATATCCTTCATTTTCTCCAAATCAAAAAAAAGGCACCAAAAACTCTCCTCTTGTTTCTTTTGATTTTTAACCTGATTGGTTTATTTATTTGGGACCAAAAACCTCATACATACATTTCTAAAGAATTGAATAAATGATATTCGAGGAAAGATTAATGTCGTGGAATTGTAACATCTAGTTGCTCTAAGTACAGAATTGGAAATAAAAACAATTAGCGCACGATGTCCGTAAAAAATTTATTTCTGAAAAAAATAGAGATGATTCTTTAATGAAATACGTTTTTATTTTCGATAAAATGTACGGGAAATGCATTTGGAAAATAGCTTATTCCATGATAAATGGACAACGTAAAAAACGTTTGTTTTAAATAACAGATTCCGTTTTTCTGTTTTTAATTGAAGTAGTAATAATAAGCGGACTTTTCTAACGTAAAGGATAGCTGTTTAAAATAACGATTCCGGTTTTTATGGTTTTAATTGAAGTAATAAACGGATTTTTAACGTAATAGTAAGGGCAGTTGTTTTAAGCAGTGATTCTGGTTTTTACGGTTTTTAATAAATATTAATTGATAAACGGATTTTTTTTAACGTAAAGAATATAAGAAACAGTATTATCATCATCAGAAATAATTATTCCAAAATACTAAAGAATGTGATTATAATTAATAGTTAAATATAAAAAATGTAGTCTTCGCCATACACATTCTCACCTAAGTTTAATAGATAGTAATAGTCAAAGTTCGATCAAATCGATGATTATATAAAAATAATTCATAATTAGTAGTTAAATATGTTTTTGAATGTGACCGCTATCGGTTACACTTATAACTCGCATTATTAATAAAAATTTTATCTATTATAACCTGGTCATGTAAAACAGTAAAAAAATTACTTATAACTCACGCCAAACATTTTACTACATACCTTAATTTCCAATTATTTCTGATTTTTTTGATTCGCATTATTATTAAAGGAACATATTATCGCATTAATATGATTTGCCATTCATAGAGTTTTCTAATTTACACTGTCCATTTGACACCAAACACAAGCACATAGAATTCGTTTAACCATTTTTTCAGGAATATATATTAAAATTAGTATTTTTGTAATTAAATACTAAATCATAAATTATATATGATTAATGTAAAATAAACTATATCATAAAATAACTATAGAATAATACTTACTAAAATAAACCTTGTTATTAATTTATTTTTGATAAATGCCCAATCTTTCGTAATAAATATTCTTTTAACATCAACAACTTTTCTTGCATTATTTGATTCTGACCCAACGTATTGAATACTGAACAACGTCGCCAGCTATATGCAGTGTTAATAACCATTGATTCGTCTCTTGTATGACATCTTCTAGATGCACGTAGTGCTGTACATGGAATAACTAACAAACAAGTAATTATTTGACTAATATAATTAATTATGTTGCAGTCTCCGATCAATTCCAGGAGCATGAGGATTATAAGAAAAACCAAAGGCAAATTAAGAAAGGAATTACAGTGACTTGAAACTCGATAAGAAACAATACTTGAATTTTAGGGCAAGTACATTACACTATTGTAGTTTTTTAAATAGTGTTAATTTTTAAATAGATATTATACCTTCGAAATCGAGCAACTTCTTGATTTTCTCGATTTTCCAACAGCCAAAGAGGAAAGCAGAAGAAGTCATCAAAGATGTAGGAATTTAGAATTTGCATTTATGAAAAGGGTGCAAAAACTAGCATTTGTTATTAATCTACTGGTGTAGTTTAAAGAGGCAAATTCAACGTTTCCAGTCTCTGAAGCTGATTTCATTCTTTATGAATGGCTTACTTCATATTGTAACAGCACAAGCGTTAATTTTGATATGCAGTGTGTTGCGAAAAAAAACCGGAAAATTTTATGTGAACTAAAAACATGTATAGCGTCCCTAATACTAAATTAAGCCTAATTCATGCCATATAAAAAATCAAGACAAACTTATATTTCAAAAATAAATATTGAGATCTTTTATAATTGATATAATTGATAATCTTTTTTGCTTTTTGAGAAAATTAAATATACAATGCCTACTTCAAGGCAAGAAACCCAATGTCAAGCTATATTACATTTATGGAAAAATGGTATATGTGAGGCCAAAGAAATAAATAAGCATACAAAAGTTCCACTTTCTAACATCTATGATAACATAAAAAATTAAAAACAACTGGCAATTTGGATCATTTTAGAGGAAATGGCTGTCAAAAAAAATTACCACAGAAACATTGAAAGCTTTGGCAATATATACGCAGAGATTCATCAATTTCGACTAGAACATTGGCAACAAAATTATCAGTAAAACATGTGCAAGTATCTTATTCAACTATCTCTAGACATATACACGAAAAAGGTATAAAAAACCCTGCCAATGGCTACACCAATGTTGAAAACTTTTCATAAAGAAAACCGTGTACAATGGGCCCAACAACATCTTAATGACAATTGGAATAAAACATTATTTACCAATGAGACATCCTTTTTATTATTTAGAAATAGTGTAGAACATTGGTATAAGGATAAAAGGCCAGTTTGAAGGATGCTAAAGGATCGTACTAAAATTCACATGTGGGGTGGTTTTTGTGTAGAAGGCAAAACAAACCTTTTTTGTTTTAAACAAATTATGGATGTGTCATTTTATGTGGAAATACTTAGCAGACATATTTCAGAAATAGAAGAAATGCTTGGAGGTTCCAGCAAGACAATGACCCTAAGCATACAAGTCGTCTTGCAATGTCTTTTCTTGCAGAAAACAGCCCAGATTTGAATCCGATAGAAAATCTGTGGAGTGTTGTTAAAAGAAACGTCGAGAAAAGGAAGCCACAAAATTTGAAAAATTAGAATGATTTATGGTTAATGAATGGCAAAGTATTCCACATAATGTCCTAATTAATTTAGTAAATTCTATGCAATGCTGATGTGAGCTTATTATACAAAATAATGGAGAACATATACCATATTAATTTTTTATTAATAAAAACTACATTTTTTAGGCTTTTAAAAGAGATATTTTTTGTATCATTTGGGATGACCATTTTGTTGTAATAATAACCAAATATATAATTCCAGTTTTTTGGCAACACACTGTATTTGTATAGTTACTTATTTGGGCTATTGTATTTAAATGTCAGATTATATTTATATTACCATTATAGTTGAAGCAAAGAAGAAAAAAGTTGCTGAAGCAAGGAAGGGACTGAAATCTCTCAACATTCTAGAGATTCTGCTACCACATCTGAAATCAGCACTTCTCCCACTGAAATTACTGTTACAGCTGTAACTGAAGCTGTTGGCAGAACATCTGATGAAAGGTCTGATGCTTCTGGTGAAGATATTTTATATACTTTTATTTATATTCTTTCACTTTTACATATAATTATTCTACCCATTTTTTTATAGGTAAAAAATGAAAATGAAAATGAAAAACAGGATTATTTTTGTATAAATACACTTCCTGGACAAAAGTATAGGGACACCTGCAGATCATCACAAATAATTGAATAAAGTGATATGACAAGAACTACACCTGCTTATTAAGTAAAAATTAATCTTCATATCAAATATTATAATATACTGAAGTTTCACCACATATAAATAAACCATTGTTGTTTTACAAACCTTAAAGATAAACAATAAAATTCTGGAATTTTTTTAAAAATCTTTAACTCAAAAATTGACCACATTAGCAAGTTATAACATCTTTTATGGTATAATTAAAAAATGCTTGCCATGTTTGAAACTGGCTATTTGCAGAATTTCTCAATTTATTGACAAAAATACTAAATGGATTGATTTTTTCCAATTTTGAAGATCAATATTAAAAAAAAAATTTTAAATTGTAATCGCGAAGCAAATTTTTATCCAAATTAAACTATATTTTTTTCAAAGACTCAAAATGCCCAGAGGTACTGAATTATCTGAATTTGAACATGGAGAAATTATTGGCTTAAAAAAGGCGAATTTTTCTTATAGGGAAATAGCCATCAGGAAAATAGGTACAAATATTATGCGTATATAATACACAATTGCAGGGATTAAGCATATAATATGCATACAAATCGTGTATTTTTTTATGTATGCAAATTGTACATATATTATATGCTTAATCCCTGCAATTGCGTATTATATATGCATAATATTTGTACCCATTTTCCTGATGAGTATAATATGCTGAATTTTCATTAATAAAAACATTGTTTTACAAACCTTAAAGATAGATGACTTTTGTGGTATAAGTAAAAAAGGTATCTTGTGTTTGAATTTGGCTATTGTGAAATTTGCAAAATTTGCCATATTATTTCTCAATTTATTGAAATATTATGCTTGGGATGTGAACAAGTGTTAGTTATTCGTATTACAATAATTTATTATACATCAGGAAAATGGGTACAAATATTATGCGTATATAATACACAATTGCAGGGATTAAGCATATAATATATGTACAATTTGCATACATAAAAAAATATGCGATTTGTACACATATTATATGCTTAATCCCTGCAATTGTGTATTATATACGCATAATATTTGTACCCATTTTCCTGAATTGAAGTCGAAATCAAAAATGTCCAACGAATTCCAGGAAGGAGATTGACTCATCACCACATAGATCTGACCAGGAGCAAACATATTTTGATCTATGATCAAGGTGACATGTGGCAATGTTAGGCCTTGTGTCTTGTGAATGGTTAATGCATAGACGTTCTGTAAAGGGAATTGGTGTCTCAAGGCATGTATTCCATTAATTTTAAAGTTCATGGTGGTTTCCTGAACATTGATCTTAACAATATTTTCGTTTGTTGGGAAGGTGACCTCGACGTTATCGTAGTCTATACTCTTGGTAACGACCCCTATTGTCCCATTGCAAATGTTGTACTCGAACAGCTTATTGTTCAGAAACATAACCCTCACTCCTTCTTGGATCGTGATCGATTGCGGGAGGTTTGTGTGATTTTTGAAAGACAAACTGTTGGAGCTGTCATCAACCACTTGAAAATTCAACATGTCAAGTGCTGTCGAAAGAATGGGGTTGGAGCATTGATTGCTGAATGGTAGGTTTTCACAAATGAATTGGAGATAGGTGTTTGCAATGCTTCATTGGAACTGCACTGATTTCCTCAGGTATTTGCCGCTAGGGTAGGTGGAAAGCGGCTATTTTTCGTAGATTTACATGATGAACATACAGCGATCTTGGTTTGGCCCTGTTGTTTACACGTAAAGGTAATTGGAGGTCTGAAAATGCTATCATTATATCGTAAGTTTCGTCAAGATTGTAATCAATCCATTTAACCACAGCTCTCATCATCAGCATAGAACAATAGGCGCAAGGAACAGATGGATGATCGTAAAGTATTTTTTTCTCGAATTCATCTGAGAGTTCTTGAAGCTTTCTCAAAGGATGCCACATTTCAAAAGATAAGGGGGACAAGGAAGGTGGTTCACGTGTCGATGGTGTATTCCCCAATTTTTGACCGATTTCACTTCATTTTGAGTACATGGAAAGAAATGAGATATTGTTGCTTGATTGCTCAGGTTGATTTCCCAGATATATCGATCGATTCTATAATCCATGATTTCAAAGAGCTGTTAATTATGTATTTACGTGTAGGAGACAATTATTATGTTATGCAGTTAAGTCTAAAGATTTGGTTTTTTTTTTTGAAATTTAAACCTTTTAATCAAAACGCTAATGCCATTTTATATGCTTTATATATTAATTTCGATTTTTATTTATTGTTGAGAGGAAAAGAAGATGCTCTGTTGTCACAATTAAAAAATAGGAACTGGTCATTCATTGTTAAACAAAATCCAGACCAAGGCTTTTTTGAAAATTTAAAAGTTTCAAACAATTTCCCTATTGTTGTTGACAAAACTGACCAAATATTTTTGAAAAAATGCAAAGATGCTTCACCACCACCAGAAAAAACACCTTTTAGTATTTTTAGCAACAAACAACAATCAATTCAATAATGTATTTCTTAAAAATAAATGAACCAAAAAATGGACAAAAATGTTTTTTAGCATGTTTTAGTAATTAATTAATTAAACACCAATAATAGTATGATGCTTTTCTTAAAAGCAAACGAATCACATGTTTTAGTAATTAAATTAATTAAACATTAATAATAGAATGATGCTTTTCTTAAAAAGTAAAACAAATCAATGGTATGATCCAAAAAAAAAAAAAAAGGACAAAAAATGTTTTTTAGCATTTTTAGTATTAGCAATAAACAATAATAATCATAATCGATCCAATTGTCAAAAAAGATAATCCGTTTTTAGCATTTTAGTGTTAGAAAAGCAATTCAATTGTCAAAAAAAGATAATTCTGTAAAACGTGTTTTAACATTTTGGTGTTAGTGTGTATAATCCACAAGGTTTTTCCTTCATTTGAATTAATGTTCTTGACATTACTAATTATAGAACAATGTGTGGCTTCATTTCCTTTACTTCATTTACAGAACAACGTGTGGTTTTCGTACGCAATAATAAATACAAATAAAGTAAAATATGATAATCCACAAGGTTTTTCCTTCGTTTGAATTGATTTTTTTTACTTAGATTGACATTACTAATTATAGAACAATGTATGGCTTCATTTCTTTATTTCATTTACAGAACAATGTGTGGTTTTTGTGCATGATAATAAATCCGTACATAATCTTTTTTTAAAAAAAAAATTATTTGTTGATCTGTGTTCAAAAAATTTCACGAAATAACAATATATAATAAAACCTTTCTTTGCACAAAAAATAATTCATTTATCCATGTTCAATTTTATTTTTGGCCCTATCTCATTCATTATTAATATTAAACATCAAACAAAAGAACAATGTCTACTGTATTGATCACAATTGTGTTTCTCAAGTCCGTCAATGGCTCCAGAACCTTAAGCGGCACAGCCACAGCCAGATTGGATGATGATGAATATGTAGACTTTCAATATAAGGCATTCAATGTGAATGGAGCAAATTTAATTGACGAAATTCAAGAAAATACCATCATGTTATTTGCAGGAAAATACATATTTGACGAATCGCAATTGTTTGAGAGTATTTTATCTATTTTTTGTCTTGCTTTTTTAAATAACAATAATTAAAATAACATATTTGTTGTCGCATACTCCAGGTCATAGTGAATAGATTAACCCTCCTTGACCTGAAAACCATAGATGACAAACCAACTATATATGATCTGCCAATTAGTCCTTTATTTGGTGTCATAACTGCACCGTGTGTCACACCTTCGAAAAAACAAGATGACAAACATTATTTCACCATGTCTCGAAAAACTTATGACCCATTCAAAGGTGTATACACAACAATGGACATTCCATGTTTTTACGATCCCGACAATGGTCGTCACGGTGGTGTTGCCAATGCTAGAAAAAATGAGAAACCAATTTTTACTGTGGTAGGCAAGGTCTTTCTGGGTAGAAAACTTGTGCAAGTTTTTGCAAACGAAATCAAGTGGACTTACCTGAGGGTTGAAAAGACCAACAACAACAATGATGAGAAATCCTCACGCAAAGCATTAAAATCCAAACATCTGGATTTTGAGGAACAATTCATGAGTTCCAACAGCAAGAGAAAGACCACAAATCACATCGGGGAGTCAGTTAAAAAAAGAAGAAGTGCAGACCATGACCCACAGGAAGAATCAAGCACATCAAGGGCAACGAAACTGACACATACAATGAAGGAAGTTGTCAGCAACAATAAATGTTATACAGATGCAGTAGAAAATTTGTACAACATTGAAAATGATGACAATAATAATAATAATGAGAATGATAATGAAACAGTGGTAAACAATGATGGCAATGAGAGTTGTGCAATGAATAATTTTTATTTATTCTTTGTAATTTTTTTTTTTTCGCAATAAAAATTGTATAGATCAAAATTTTTTCTGAAATTACCACCCAGCAAAAAATTCCTTCCCAAAAAATTAGGTTTAAAAAACAAAGATTTTTCGGTTTCAATTGCAATTGCAACGCATTGCTTTACAATTCAATTGCAATTGCAACCTGTTTTATAAAACAAAACATTTGCCATACGACACAATTTTTGCTAAATATGGTGAAAATGTTGATCATGCCAAAAACCAAAAAGACCAGGCACAGCTAGATGCAAAAGGAGACAACTGGTGAGAAAACTGCATGGAAGTCGCACAACTTGCGAGTTTTGGAAGGAGATCATGACACAGCAAATGTTAAATCTTTTTTTTGTGTTAAAAAAAGCAATTGAAAAAAATTACTGGAATTAAATAGTCACCGCAGATCTATAGTAATAGTAGATGAGAGTAAAATTCAAATTTACATAGTAAAAAAAAAATTTTATAATTGAATGCCTTACATCTTGCTTGAGAGGAAACAAAAATGTGGGATGGCCATCCTATTTATATTTTTTTTTGAATTAATAAAATAGACTATTGTCTTGACCTGAGTGATGTCGTTGTGTGAGTAAAACACACGAAGCTCACTGTCATGTTTTCATTTAAAGACTTGTTTATATATTAATTATATAATATCTATATTCATGTTACATTCCGTATATTTATTAAAAATTATTTTGATATTTCGCATTATTTATTTGGAAGGATTAATGGCAATAACCCAAATGGGATAATTCACCCAGACTGGGATATTAATTAATTAAACATGTATATAAGGAACAAGAATTCACTGTACTTTAAAAGTGACTTTGTAATAAGTTAACTTAATAGTGTGTTTTTGTGTAATTGATAGTGTACCATTTTTGATTTAATAAAATCTATTTGAATCTACTAAAGCAAATAAACAAAGATAAATTTATTATTTATCAAAAAAAGAAATAAAGAAACTTTAAAGTATATAAACATGATTGATTTTGAGATTGACATCAAAAAAATTTGCAACATTAAAAATCATTAAACTTTATACATTTAATAATATTATTTTCTTTAAAAACAATGATGTTTAAATTGACCACTACTTGTGTGATTGATTCAATAAAGGACCAAAATTAATTATTTTGCAATAAAAGCTATTTGTTTGTTTGTTTATTGTTGTTTTTTGATTTTGGTATTAATGCAAGTTTCTATTCATAATACAGTCAGAACTCATTAAACCGAAGTCAATATTTTCAATTTAAAAAACCTTAATAAAATCGGCTTACTGAGGTAAATTTGATAGGTAGATAATAAAACAACATCAGCTTATCATGTATATTCAGTTTATCAAAGCATTGCCTTAACAAGTTCTGACTGTATGTTTTATTCAGTTTTATTGGTTTTATTGGTTTTATTGGTTTTATTTGCTTTATTTGCTTTTATTGGTTTTATTGGTTTTATTGGTTTTATTCGCTTTTATTGGTTTTATTGGTTTTATTGGTTTTATTGGTTTTATTGGTTTTATTGGTTTTATTCGCTTTTATTCGCTTTTATTGGTTTTATTGGTTTTATTGGTTTTATTGGTTTGGTTTATTGGTTTTATTGGTTTTATTGGTTTTATTGGTTTTATTTGCTTTTATTCAAATTATTATTATTCATTTTATTCAAATTATTATTACTTGAATTATTTGTTTTATTTAAGTAAACCTTTATTTGAATAGAAACCTAACTATTACTCAAGATTATGATATTATTTTAGCACAAAGAGCTTTAGAAACATTTAACCAATAATTTTAATTACAATGCAAGAGCTATTGGTTTATTAAATTAATTAAAAAATAGTAAAAGAATATCTGAACATTTCATTCAATATTTACTAATAGGCTTTTAGACTATATGATAAAAATATTAAGAATATTATTAACTTATCAGTATGCTAATACCTTGATTATTTTTTTAAAGAATAATCAGATTCTGATATTTAATGATACCCCATTACCCAATTTGGCATCATTTGACCAGTAAAAAAAGAACCAATAGATTATATACAAGCAAAGAAAGATGGGACCTAAATTAGCACAAAAGAATTTTAAATCATGAACAAACATAACAGCTTGATAGCTTGATTGACATAATGGTGCAGTCTTGCAATTTTTTTTATTGTATATTTTAAATATAATTAATCATACATCTTTAATAAAACAAACATGACGGTCATGATTATTTTTTGATACATTTGATATCATCATTGACATAACAAACAATTGCATAACCCAGGTAGTAATGATACCAAGGCCATGCATGAATGAAACTTTTAATAATGCATGTCTACCCAGATCTCTGGGGTTCACAATAATAAATTACAATTATGGTTGCTCATGAATAATAAATCTGATGTTGATTGCAGGTGTCAGATTTAATTAAAATTTCCTGTTGCAAACATGTGGTTATGTGCTTTCACACGCCTCATAACTGTAGATTTTTTTCCACAGGTGAGGTCCCCCACATGTTGGAAGGCTTTGGACAAAACTTTACTTATCTTCCCCTCAGACCAGGCTTGGCTGTCACCATATGAGCATTGATTGCTGATGAGAGTTGACATTCATGTGATGTGTGATGTTTGCTTTGTGTTATACCTCTCACTCACTAGAATAAAGTTGGTGTTAAGACTGGTTTGAAAATTCAGCAACTTGGAGGTTACAACCTGGGTTGTTGTTTTGGATTTTCCCTGAATTCAGAGTTTTAAGTCTTGGGTTGCTGTAATTTTTTATGAAAAGAAAAGTATTAATATTTAACAATTAATTATTTAAATGTTTATTTTGTTGAAAAAAATATACATTGATAGTGTACATTTTCTGTGCTTAACATCCATGTGACCCTAAATCTGGACAAAAGATCCCTTTCTATGAGTTTGGCTGGTATATCTCAAAGGCATCCCCTGTCTTGTCAGTGGCATGCCTGCTCACCAACAACCCTACCCCCATTTACTAATATAACAAATTCAGTTGGTCAGATAAAAATTAAAGAGAAGCAGAAAATTTGGGAAAATGTTTAATTTATAACATACCAAAATCTGAACCATTTTATGACTTTTTTCTTGTTGACCATATTGCTGACAAAGAAGTATATAATCGTTTGATAATTTTAATCTATACAACAGGGACTGATTGGGCAAAAACCCAATCCAGTCCCCTTACCCAAAATTATAAATTGGTTAGCACCAAAAAAACAGAGAATTTATGAAAGTGATTATACAAAACAAACACTATTTTACAACTTTCCTCTTAACATCAGAATCCAAAAGCAATTTCAGGGCCACAAACCCTGCTCTGAATTGTGACCTCCTGAGCTTGGAATGAGTTGCAGATTCTCTTGATATTCATCAGCAGAGTTGCAATAGCTTGGCCACGGAGCCATCCTTACCCTGGAGGCAGGATCGTTGCAGGTGAATTTTCAGCCAACATGGCAGTGGCCATCTCTGGTCTGGGAAGATTAGTGAAAGCATCATTGACGATTGATGCAGTCTCGGTAAATTCCAGGGCAAGCATTCCTCCCCCTGGAATTCAGTTGCATCATTATATCATTGAAGGTCGCAAGTCAGATTAGCCTTTTGTACACGAGGAAGGTGTGAGAATGGCTGTAAGTGTTCAAGGTAGCGTGCATGCTTCAACACCTGTAAATTTCCGATAATCAAACTTCGCATACTCAAAATGTTTCTTTTTCAACGGTATGCTGCCTTGACATCTTGTGATTATAATATTTATAATGATAATATTATTAATATTAACGAAAAGTAAAATATTATCAATGAAAATCTTGTAATTACCCCAGCAAGATCTGCTCCGCGTTTTGATTTCCAATTAAAATATTTATATAATAACCAAAAAAGACAATACAAGTAAAAAATAGTACCTCTGGTTAGTTATTAACATGTTTCTTTAGGAGACCCAAACCAAACCAAACAACAATGTTCACGTTTTGTCACCTTGGACTCTGTCAAAAAATAAATTGTTTTTCCAAAAAAGAGAAAAAAAAAATCAATTCGTGTCTGTCCTAACAGGAGGGAACGTCCTATATAAGGAATGGATTTTCACAATTGATTTCAATTTTTTTTATACAGTTTAAAATACT